AGGGAGCTGGAACCAGTTCTAAACGGCACTGTAGATTTGTGGAACCTCTTCTATAGAAGAGGTTAGAACTGGCAGGAACCCACCCCTGGTTTTAACCCTGTACTATGGCAATGTTTATTAAACTGCTTTTTAAAAAATTAAGCCATAATTGATTCATACATACAACTAAGCCATAAATTACAATTTACAACTCACAATGAGCAGATATATACAAGCTGCTAAGACAAAATTAAATAAATCCTATAACTTTATGTAATATGCTAATTCAGCAATAGCATTGTCTATTTCCCCTGAAAACATTAACCAAAGCTCACCTTTCTGTCTGTTCTTTGTTGAATGCAAGGTAAAACCATCAAAATGTGAGAAATGCCATGATTCCTGTATGCAGTGCAAGGGACCCGGTCCCTTCAACTGTACTTCATGTCATCTTAACACACAACTATATGTTGATGAATATCGATGTGTGCCATGCTGTCAGGTTGCTGGTTTGATGGAAACTCAGGAATGTTGTAACTGCACTTTAACATCAGGTAATAATCTCATCATTATTTTATATATTTCTTCCAAGAAATTTTTCTAATCTGATTTCTTGACAGTATTTCAATCTCTATCTTTGGCTTGGCAGTGCATAGCATATGCCAATAGACAATGAAAGTCAAGATAGTACAACTAGTAATAGACATCTTGGGTGCAATCTCAAAACAACTGGAGCACCACTTGAAAGCATTGACAAAATCAGTCAATTTCAAAAGGCAGCTTTACCTGGAACAGCCTATATCCTGAGACGATACCTTTCAGACCTTCAAACCACGACATCTGCTTATTTCTGGTTCTTGAGACGGACTCGATATGTGAATAAAAATACCAAATCGAAGAAATTGGTTCACTGTGCAATAACTATAATTATAAAGTTAGCAGGCAGTCACCTGACTTTATAGTTTAGTGTTGATATTTATGTCTAAATATGTCTAAATAATTAGACAGTTTTGTTATTTGGCAAAATTTTGTGGAGAACCCTTTGCCTTGCTGCTAATTCCACATCACAGGGATAAGATTGTAAGCAAAGTAGGTTGATCTTAAAACCACTGTTACCGTAATGTTCTTCTCACCATGACTCCATAAGACCAGCAGGATTAGTGCTGTCCCATAAGAGCAATAGCAATAGCAGTTAGACTTATATACCGCTTCATAGGGCTTTCAGCCCTCTCTAAGCGGTTTACAGAGTCAGCATATCGCCCCCAAACAGTCTGGGTCCTCATTTCACCTCGGAAGGATGGAAGGCTGAGTCAACCTTGAGCCAGTGAGATTTGAAC